GTTTTTCTCAAAATAAAACGGTGCGTATTCACGATTTTTGCAAGAGTACCTTTTTGTGTAAGATGAAGTGCTCATTCTAATACAAGACACACGTATTAAAAACCTAACCTCAAAATGTTATGTCATAAAATGTCACTAAGATAGAGCCAGCTTTAATAGATGGTCAAAAAACTAAAAACACTGACGCAGGTACCCTCAAAAACTTACCTATACCAAATTTCAACAGGTTTTATTTCTTTTTGAAAACTATATGGCTAAAATTTTGGATCCTGTATCACTCACTTTCGCATAATGAATTTTGTCGAATGCCAAGATCTTATTTTAAGTGGTTTCATAGAGGGTAAATGTTAAAAATAAAAGTTACATTTTTGAACGTTTACTGACGCCAACAACTTATCAGAATGCAATTTTGAAATCTATACTTACTGTGTATAAACAAACTAATAAACTCATTATCATTTTGGAAGAGTTTCATGAAACAATATGCTTATATTGACGATTTTAAATGCATATTAACTATGCAGGGTGCAAACATAGCGTTACAATAAATAATTTTTTTAAATAAGATAACGTAAGATGTATATATCCTAGGACAATTTCAATTTTAGCTGTTAGTTGTTGAGGAAATTACTTTAGTGTAGTGGGAAATCCAAACTTTTTATTCTTTTTCGTTTATTTGTGTACGTCTCCCATAATGAAAATATCCATAAATTTAGACATGCAGATACCTACATATGATTAAATTATTTCTGGTATTAATTTATTTATCCGATCTCATTTTTGAAAAACAAAATCAAAAAATTCGATTCATCTGAAGACTAATAAATTTCAAAACAGAATTCTTATTATTTTTGTGACTAGTGATTTCTTACTCACTAAAAACTATATTGAAGCTGTTATCTCAACTTTGAGGCACTGTACAATGTACAATGACTGATAACACGATTTTGTACATAAATAAATAGGCAAATCAAAACTATAGGATGTAAGCAATTTAGGAAATATAATAAATAATTACAATAAAGTATTTCTGCCAAATAATATGTTGGGTAGGTAAAACAAGAGAGATGTACAAGTACTATTGCTTTACATTCATTATTTTTAAACAGTTTTTACATTTGATTTGGGGCTACTTTGGAGGAACTTACAACACTACGTGTTAGTAACAAAAATAATCATAAAATGTTGTGTGTTCAAATTTTTTACAATGCATATCAACGTGAGTATATGCAATACATCGACACTGCCCAATTTTTCATATTTTGGAAACATTATTTGCAAGGTATGTGTTTTAGTACGTCTAAGCAAGCTGCAATTATGTAATTTTTTATAGGTTTGATATGAAATTTATATAGGTATACTCGTATATATGATTTCCTTCCAAAGTGTAAAATTTCATATCAGAAATATTTCAAAGTTCTCTTGTAAAAACATAAAAAGGTATATTATATCATACGCGAAATTATGAAATTTTTCATCTTCTGTAGTAGATACTCTTAGAAAAATTGTATATTTCACATTTAATGATGAAAGATAAATATGTTAATCCAAGAAAATCAATGAACTTGAAAAGAGATATATACACTGAACGAAATATTATCTTGAATCAAGAATAGATTAATTATTTATGTATGCATCACCATACCTATAATCTGAAACCAAATGAAATTTATTCACCAAAAGAAACGCATTCTCGTCAGAAAGGATTTTTATTTAATTGAAAATTATGGTATTACAATAAATATATCCTTGATTCGGGACATTATTTTTGACTTTGTGCGTCGTAAGCAGCGATTGTTAAATTTGTTTCTAATCACAATGACAACGTAAAATTCTATAAATGTGAAACACAAACAGAATTTTAATGTTACGAAAGAAAAAAATGTGATTGTTTTATTACCTGAGTTATAGTTAGATGACTGATATTAATGCACTAAAAAAATATTGAATTGTCTTCCATTTACTTTTGGTACCTCTTTTTTCTTTTCTGTTATTGTTTACTGACACTTTGAGTAGAAAAATTAATTGATATTTCTGTAACACTGAAAGAAAGAGAAATTTTAAATATATAAAAACACATTAAATGTTTTTTAGTTATAAAGAACTGAAATTTTGTTTCTTTTCGCTGTTTGATCATGAAAAATTAAGATTTTGTTTCTATTTGTTCTCTTAATTTGTACTAGAACTCTACTAATTTGAAATTTGAAAGCTCTTGAATATATAAATGTTATTAAAAAATGTTATTTTCACACTCATAGAGTTTATTGCAGCAAAATATATCTGCAAAAATATCACTCAGTCCTTTACATTTTCTCTTTCTTTTTAATTCAAAATTTATAAAATGAACCTACTTTTGACGCGAAGATTTATTTATATAAATGTTCTTTTTCTTTCCAGTATGACAGAAATACCCATCAAGTAAAAATATAACAAAATAATGTCCAGAAATAAATAATTATCTGGTTTATGGGGCTGTCAGTACTGAGCCGCGGGACATAGGCGTGCGTATTATTTATTAAAAAGCAACAAATTAAATGTAAAATAAACCACCATAAACACCAACGGATAGGAATTAATTACGCAACATACACACGATAAGAAAGCAACAGTATACTGATGTGACGTGAACGTGAAAAGCATTCTGAGGCAGCGGCTTACGCATGTCTCGGTTGACCCGCTTGGCACGCCATTGAATTGCGGCTCTCTCTGACAGTTCTATTTATAAAGGATTTTTAGTATAGAACTGATATGGTCGTTTATAGATATAAAAATGGCAAGATTAAACTTAACAATCGCTGCTTTATGTAAATAATGTATTATTTTTGTAGAGGAATTCATAGTAGTTTTGTGCATTAGTTGGTCAGGTGCCCTGACAATAAAGTAGATTTCTTTAAGCTGAACAATAATTCCTATATTAAATAGAAAAATGAGAATTTTGTTACAAATAAAGAGAGATGATTTATTACAGAAATGTGTTGTGACTGTTGTAAAAATAAATTATTTTGAAAATTTCGTTTTGTCTTGTCTTCCTATTTGCTACTCATTCAATACATTGATGTATTTGCTAAAGATTCCTTTGCTGCTTGATGCTCTACTAATGTTATTGTATGTTTTAGCCTTCTATAATAAACATAATATGATTGCAAAGAGAATTTAATAAAACACTGCTTTTTTCAATCTGAAAAAGTTGATGTATAATTATTACTATAAGAATCTATGTAGTTGCTGATGAAAAAATATTTGTTTAGAAAAATTAACTGAATCCCCACATCCAAAGCATTTTCTTTGTTACGTAACTTCCTTAATAATGTCTTCACCGGTAAATAAATTATTAATAATATTTATATAGTAACGCATAATTCATTTAAACAATCGTAAATCAGTCTTAAATGAAATCATGTGATCTTGACGCTAACAAGGTGAATCTCGTACACTACTGTATTCCCAGTTGCATATCCTAGCACAAATCCTGGGAGCGATTTCTACTGTATCTAAAGGACACCATACATTAGACAGTTTTAGTTGTACCAATCAAAACCGTATAAACAAAAGAAATAGGTCAGGGTTAAAGTTAAAACTATTAGGTCGTCAATGTAAAAGAAAATGGAGACATATTTTTTTTCAAAAGCATTCTTCGGTGCAACATTTTTCTCAAAAAAAAACAACAAATAAATTATAGAAAAGGAATAACTGTTTCTGAGACTTTTAGCAACTTCTATGTTACATATTTTTTACTTTACTTTAAAAGTATCAAGTCAATCCAAAAATTTTTGTATTTTTTTTCCTAAAAAAATCTTGTTCTTTGATACCAGAAATTTAGGTGTGCAAAAGATACCTAAACCCCCAGACAAGATTCATAACTGCTGATACCGTAAGAAGCAACCATTCTATAGATTACATGTCTCAACCAACATTGAGTTACAATACCTAGTAAACAGCTTCGCAACTGAAATAATCGCAAATGCGCGAAATATTTGGAAATATGTAGATGTGGCATGAGATGAAATCAATATCGTAAAAAAATTTTTGCAAACCGAGAAAAAAATATTGAAGTTGTAGTACTTTCAACCAATACACAGCTGGACAACTGTAGTCTCTAGCGTCATTCGTAATACGCGTGGAGAGACACATAGCCTCAGCGATTCCGAATACTGAAATCCGATTTTACAATCGTCGTTGCGATAGTATTTACAATAGTTTTTTAGTAGTTAGTGTCAAAAATGGCTTGCGTGTATAACAACTGGGAGTTGATGGATGGATATCGTTTTAATTTATGTTGAAGCAAGACAACATTTGTGTTAGTTCGTAGAAACTGTGTAAGACGGGTCCAAATGTGTTTACACGTCGGTGGACAAAATTTTGAACAGTTGTTATAACATCTGGTATGTCATATTATTTTATTAAGTAAATCCACAAATTAATTTTATTAATTAATAGTAACAATAGCGGCAAAAGCAGTTGAAATTGTTGATATAAAATAGGTGCTATAAAATTTATTTCTTTCCTTGCGAAATTCTTGTCCATTTTATCACACTTTGCCGCCATGCTGGTCGCATTGTGCAAGGTCAGGTTTTACAATGGACCACTTTCCAGTGCCGTGCAGAAGTGTATTTTTAAATCATTTTCGAACTGCCCTTTTTGATTTTTTCTTTACAAAATTGTATTTCATATCATAATTTTTTTTCTTTTTGATAAGTTCTGAATCACCCTAAATTCCAGCTGAAAAGATAGGTACATTATTTATAGTCAATACATCGATATCCCACGTATGATTGGAATGTAATGTATGGGATCCATAAGCTCGGTTTGCTGGTCCTGGCTCGAATACATGACCGAATAGACCGGAAGACTAGTCCATAACTCACTAGGGTACACAAGACAAAAAATTAAATATGTACAAACCGAAATGACTCATATACAGAGAAGTGGACGGTAAAAAACCATGCCCGCATCATACGAATGGAACACCAACTTACCAAGGAGCATGCGCATACTTTCTAATTTAGAATTAGTCAGTCTAAAGCCGGCTCGTTGTTGAGTAACACGTACGTCAGCAGGAATAACCTCAGTTATCATTTTTCGCCATGGGAAAATCGGTAAAGTTCTATTCCTAAACCATATTTGAATAAATATCAATTGGTACTTTCTTCTTCAGCCAACAGTTCGTCCTTACGAAAACTTCGATGACGAAGAAGACGCCAAGGCACTAAAAGAAGCATTCAAAGGTTTTGGTACCGATGAGGATGCAGTTATTGAAATTATTACCAGGAGAACCAATGAACAAAGACGACAAATTGCAACCAGGTTTAAGACCATGTATGGCAAGGTATGTCCAACATTAACAATTTTCTTATTAGTGTAGAACAATGATATGCAAATTTTAGGAAATGGGTAATAACTTATCTTAATCATAGCATTTTAAATTGTTTAAATATTACTGATTCTGAGTACTTTTTAATTGCGTTAGCTTATGATGTGGTTTTAATTCACAATTCACATAACGAATTATTGTAAATCCTTTAAATTTAGAAAATTTGTATAGGTATGTCAAAAAATATTTACTTTTTTTTGGTGCTTTAAAAACTTTTAATTGATTGCTGCACGGAAGCTGCTAAAAAATTCGCCCCTTTCAATTCATTGATACGTCAAACACATCATAATTATACGTTTTCAATAATAAATTCCCTTTTTAATAATTTTGCGTGAAATGTGTGGATTATACAATTTTTTTACGTTAAACTCTGGATAAAAAACAGCAGAGGATTACGTATCGTGTACACTAATTATCATTTGACAGGATTAAAATTCTACGTTTTTATTAAAAAATATGTGTACTATATATCATTTCAGCGTTAACGTCAACTGATAATAGCTTTAATTAGAAAATATATGGTTGCATTGTGTAACCGAGAAAGGTTGTTTTCATAATTTTCTTGGTTGCTTAAAATAATTCTCCTCAATACATTATCAATCAAGTAATATCTTTAAAAAATAAAATAAAAGGAAACTGTTTTATCACGTGCAAATATATTATTAAATACAAATACTTGCGTTTCTTATTAATTGAAACAATGAGTTCATTTCTTGTGTGATTAATACATTTTTCTTGGTTGTACTACCATGATTCATGGTAAATATATTATAAAATATGGTGGATAAATAAACTAGTCGTGTAACGTTAAAAGTAACGAAATACTTTTCTTTAAGACTTAATTTTATGGATCAAAAACTTTGCTTATTACAAGCTTTTAACAGGAATGGGAATTTGCAAAAATACAGTTGAAAATAGTTTCGCCGAGAATGAAGAATCACTAATTAATTTACTGAAAAGTTATGAATTCTTAATTCCATTTATACAGGTATTTACATATTTATGAGAATTATTTACTATAGTACAATTTTATATAGCTATTAGATAATCGCATCTTAGTTTTGGGTTTATTGACCTTTGCCTCTGCCTTTCCAGTTCTGTTCAGTGTTCCGTCGTGTCTACCTCAGTGCGTAACTATGTAAATACAAGCAAATTTCTCTTTAAAAATCGAGTCGTTTCTGTTTTGGTTCTCTCAAAGATTATCTTATTCTTAGATCGAATTTGGTAGCCTGCATAGAACATGGAACATGACCTTCGTGTTCAAAATCTTGGAAATTCATGAATACATTGCAACGGAATTAAGTCAAGTTCCTTTTTCCATTATGTCTGGATTTTTATCCAAAGAATAAGTTCTACGAATTGTGGTCAATGCGATTTTGAATCATTTTTTGAAACGCCCCAACTTATGTGGCGCCTACAGTTGACCTTCAAAAAGTGGCGCTTTTTCGCTGCAATCAATAATTCACAATGAAACCCAGGACATTTGATTTAAATAATACGAGCTACTAAATACAAGCTTTCTGGCTGGATAAGGCCTCTTAAATAACAACATATAGGTAATGTGTCTGTGAGTTTACTTATTTTGAAATTCAAAACATAGTTAATTCTTTGCATTCAGCATTCTCATAAATTAAAATTCATACCAATTAAGCTGTAAATTGGTCACTTGATTTAAACGAATTGCTATTATTTTCGGACTTTCCATTGAAATACTTATTTCAAAACTTAATTAAATTTTTGTATAACAAAGTTTTATACTTTTTTAAACACTAATAAATTCGACATTATGTCAACACTCACTTTTACGTGATTTGAACTAATTCCAAGATATATTGTCAAATACTTATTTTTGATATATTCGAAACATTTTTGTATATTAGATGTTTGGGCATGCATTCTCATAATTCGAAATTAACAGTTAACAGTTAAATTTTTGCATAACAGATTTTCTTTATATCCTTCAGTCAGTTCTAAATTATACCAACACATTCGTTTAATTTAAACGAATTTCTGTTATTTTAGAACTTTTCTATCCATGAATATTGTCGAATACTTATTTTTTAGATATTGGAAACATAGTTAAATTTTTGCCCAACAGATTTTCGGTCTATCTCATATATTCGAAATTGTAAACCAACATTGACTTGATTTAAACTATTCCTTATTTAAAACATATTTATCCAAGAATATTGCCAATTACTTATTTTTGAGATATTGGAAACATAGTTAAATTTTTGGATACAATTTTTGAAGCATCTGCATAAATTCGACAGTATGCCAATGTCACTTGATTTGAACGAGTCCATGTTATTTTAGGACCTAATAAAGGAACTGAAAAGCGAGCTCAGGGGGAACTTTGAAGACTTGATAATAGCCTTAATGACTGAACCAATCGAATTCCAAGCTAAGCAGTTGCATAAGGCCATAAGTGGCCTGGGAACTGACGAGAGTACCATTGTGGAGATTTTAGCTGTGTACGACAACGAAGACGTGATCAGAATTGCCAACGCGTATGAAGGGCGTAAGTTATTGATAATTCATCTAATAAAAAAAATTCAACATGTTGCTTTTTTTTGTTTAGAAATTCTACAACACTGAAACTTGGCTACCGCAAGTAGCTGATTTCATTATTTTTCAAGAGCTTATTAATATTTCATATGATTTTTTCATTGTAAACAAACCAACAGGAAACAATACTTTGTTTAAATATAGACTGTGATATATTATCTGCGGTTTTCTAATCAGTTTTCCGAGGGCAGGGAAAAGTATTAGAAAAAGTTAAGGAACGTAATATGACGTCATGTTGATCACATGCTTCTATTAGCTTGTATGTATATATGTATTAATTTTTTGGTGTAGTATGGTGTAGTATTCCTAAATAAACATTATAAGTAACATCGTTCATCATATACATGTTTACAGTTGAATTTAGCGAAAAGAAAGGTAAATAAATTAATTGCGTACTACAAATTCCTTTCTGTTAACCTTTTTTAGATTCGTAAATTTCAAGAATCATAAAAAATTTACTGTATACTGTGCATTGTGATATTATGTATTGAGTACATGGCTATTGTTTTTTTATTATCTGAATTTAATTTTTATGCAAGGAGTTAAAACAGAATTAAAAAATTAATAGTTGTAACACCAAATAAAAATGAGTTGCATAATGAAGTAAATAAATATCGTGGTTTGTAAGTCAGTTATAAATACTATTAGGCTATTGATTATATCCAAAAAAAGGGTTAAAAGGAACTATGACGTTCAAGCAATTTTATTGCATGAATCGTTCAGTCATTTTAGATGAAAAACTCAAAAAACTCAAGTTGTGAAAATCTTTATTTATTATTAACAAATAAAACTTTTGTAGTATATTTTTATTAAGTAAAGAACCAATTTGTTGTATCTAAAAAATATTGAAGTTTGACCGGTTATATAACTCAGTCAATATTAGTCCAAAATCTTTTGAAGACACATCATTTGGAAGGGAATCTTATCTAGTTTCTTTGTACAGCAATTTTCTTTGCCTACTTTCTTTGCAATTGCCTACTTTGCCTACTTTCTTTGCAATTTTCTTTGCCTACTGCAATTATTACTTCGACATTTCCATCAGCTTGGAAGCATTCCACTATTTTACCGCTTGCAAAAATATCTACTCCATCAGAAATTTCTCATTTACGTCCTATAAGCATACTGCCGGTTATGTCAAAGATCTTGGAAATGGTTATATATAAACAGATCAATGAATATGTTTTAGCACATAATATTATTCCTCCAATTCAATCAGGGTTTAGATCAAATCACAGCACTGTTACAGCTTTATCTCAAGTAGTCGATGATATACTTCGTAATACTGATAACTGCAAAGTCACCTGTTTAATTTTGTTAGATTTCAGTAAGGCGTTCGATACTTTGGACCATAATCTATTATGTAAGAAATTAAACTATTTTGGGTTTGATACACAGTCCACCGCTCTCATAGAAAATTTTCTTTATTCTAGAACTCAAAGGGTACATCTAAAATCCAAAGTATCTAAACCATTACCTGTTCAATATGGAGTCCCACAGGGATCTATTTTAAGCCCGTTGCTATTTTCTATTTATATTTCAGATTTTTATGAAGCTGTTTCTTTTTGTAATATACATCACTATGCAGACGATACTCAATTATATTCTGGTTTTAGTTTGGACGATCGCAGAGATGCTAATACTAGAATCAATCAAGACTTAAGCTCACTTTATAAGCTATCTCTTGAGCACAGATTAAAATTAAACCCAAATAAGTCGCATGTTTTATTGTTTGGCCCTAAACAAAGGAGATTGGCAGTGGAAAATTCCTTAAAAATTATTTTAAACAATGATACATTGGATATAATTGAAGAATGCAAAAATTTAGGACTTTGGTTCGATTCAGATCTACGTTTCACTAAGCACATAAATCAGTTGTTAAAAACATGTTATAATACTTTAAAACAACTATACCCACAAAGACAAGTGATGAATCAAAATTTAAAACTACAATTATGTGAATCATTAATTATTTCTAAATTATCTTATTGTGATGTTGTGTATGGTCCAAATCTATTACAGATTGATAGATCCAGACTCCAGAGGTTGCAAAATTCATGTTTACGTTTTTCTTATGGTATCAGGAAATTTGATCACATAAGTCACAAGTATAAAGATGCTGGGTGGTTAAAAATCGTTGATATGTTCAAATATCATTTTATATGCTTTACACATAAAATACTCACCACTAGTACACCTACTTACTTATATAATAAATTAATTAAATTTGGTAATGTAAACAATAAGAGATCTTCACGTAATAGAAATACCCTGGTAACCCCCAAACATAAAACTGCCACCTTTACTCGTAGTTTTTCATATTTAGCCCCAAAGTTGTATAATCAGTTACCAAATGGGATTAAAAATTTTGCTTTAATTAACTTCAAAAAAAGATTAAAATCACTTTTTGGAGACTTACACCTTTAATATACGTTGTATTTTATCACCGAAATTTTGATATCAATGACTTATCTGGCTAATTTAAGATGGGCAAATATATAATTTGTGTAACAGGAGCACAGGACTTAGAGGCAAATACATTTATTGTTGTGTAATATTCTTAAGGTTAAGTTGAAAAGCAGCTGTAGCTGAACTTCACCTGTCATTCCACTTGTTCTTTTATTTTTGTATGTTTGTATGTAATGTTTGTTATCAACTTTGTAATGGAATGAATAAAGACGATTATTATTATTATTATTACTTCTACTGAAAAAAAAATAGAGTAAAAAAAGTAAAAAAAAATCGAGAAATCTTATTTGTTGCTTTTTTAAAATTGTTTATTAACGATTTTTTGCATAAAATTTCTCTTTTAAATTTTTTAAATAAGCCATTTCGATGGAAAATTCAATTCTCTACAAAATTTTTCCTATGAACTACCGAAATTTTCGTGCTATCTTTAAAAAGCTGCAAAGTGCATTTTCACCCCTGTCTTCAATTTTAACCCTCTAATATCACACCCCGCGGTTTTTTCATTTTTAATTACCCTTGAACGTCTTATTTCCTTTTATGTAAAAAATGAGAATTAAAACGTATAAGGATCGAAAAATTGGCTAATTGTAAGTTTGAGCGGCCATATATCAGTCAATTTTCATCCAAAAATACTTTACAACCTCTTATTTTGAAGGAAATTTTATCTACTTTTTTTATGAAGCAATGCCTAAGAGTAACTTATCTTTACTCAAAAAAACTAGCTGCAAAAATGTAAAAAAACGATCAAAAAATCTATTTTTATTTCAAATTGTTTATTAACGATTTTTTGCATAAAATTTTCCTTTTCAATTTTTTAAATAAGCCATTTGGGAAATTCTCTAAATAATTTTTCCTATGAACTATAGCGAAATTTTGCTTCGTTTTCGAGTTACAATTAAAAAACTGAAAGGGGCGCATTTTCACCCCTATCTCCAATTTCCATCCTCTAATTTAATAGCACTCCGCGGTTTTTTTCATTTAAAATGACCATTTGAACGATTCGTGCCTATAGATTTTATGTTCAGTATTATACTTATTTGAAGTACTGTCTATTTAAGATTCTATCGAAGATACTTGCTGATTCATAATATAAATTTCTTTCAGTTTATCAAACTTCTTTGGAAGCTGATATTAAAAGTGATACATCTGGTACTCTGAAGAGACTATTAGTTTCACTATCAACCGTAAGTACAATTCATAGATTTTTAACATGGTCGTACTATTTTTATATGAACTGGAAGGTTTTGGAAATAAAAATTTTTATCATCATTTTAAATTAATTTGTTGCAACTATAAAGTGTTCAAAAACTTGCTATTTTCTACTGGTATTGTGATACTAGTTAGTTAGATATTGATCATAATAAAAATCAATATTTATTACCCAAAACTAAACTAAACTAAATGTTTGATACTGATAAATATATAAGAACATAAATTCATAAAACTAGTTTATGACTTGTTGATTGAATTATGATGGCAAAATAGATTATTTCTATCATTAAATTGAACTTAGGCTTTTTTAATACTAGGTTAATCGTGTATTTTACATACTTATACAGGATAAGGGAGAACTATTTTCCTATCAACTCATTTTAGGGATAGCTAGTGGCTAATTAAATAAATAAATATATATTTGGTATGAATATTTGAACAATTTCCCAATTGGTTGCCACGTCATCCGTTAGAATTTTAGACGTTTTTAGAGATATATCGGACTCTTCAGAAGAAAAACAAGGAAAACCATCTGGAATATTTAAAAACTTTTGTAATGAGATAAGGCGATTCTGTCTTTTTGAGAAATGTAATTTGGTTTTTGTTAAGGATCCTAGATTTATTAGTGTGCAAATTTCTAGTATTAGAATTTCGTTTTATTGACGTTAATGCAAGTGTTTTATTTGGAACAGATATCTTATGTTTTGAAAATATTTGACGATATTTCGAATTTCGTCATGTGCACCAACAAAACATTAACTAAATCGGCAAGTACTTGTTTTGAAAATGTTTAACTATGTTTCCATTTTTTTCACGTGCACTGACAAAACTTTTAACTGAATCAGCAAGTACAGGAGCTTCTATCAATAATATGAGAAAATAATATTATGTACAATGAACTTTCAGACTATTCAGAACCAAAATAAAATAAGAAATTAGTACGTCGTGCAAGAACTTAACAAAACTGAATATTTAAGGGCAACCGCGACGAATCCAACGAGGTGAACCCAGAAGCCGCCTTCAAAGACGCCCAAGCGCTCCTCCAAGCGGGAGAACTCCTCTTCGCCGGTACCGACGAGTCGGTCTTCAACGCCGTCATGTGCCAGAGGAACAGACCCCAACTGAGACTCGTCTTCGACGAGTACGAGAAGCTCGTGGGCCACACCGTAGAAACGGCCATCGAAAACGAGTTTTCTGGCAACATAAAGGACGCCCTACTGCAGCTGATCCACTGCGTCAAAGACAGAAGCGACTACTTGGCCACCAGGTTGCACGACAGCATGGCCGGCATCGGCACCGACGACAGGACTCTGGTAAGGCTAGTTGTGGCGAGGTCCGAGATCGACTTGGAGGAGATTAAGGAGGTCTACGAGGCCAAGTATGGAAAGAGCCTTGCCGAAAGGATTGCGGTTAGTATATATTTTTAATTTGAAGTTTTTCATTATTGTTGTTTCGTCCGCATAGCATGGAATTCACTTACGTTTGATTGGTTTGAAAGATTTCAGTCATTTTTATACAGAATGTCCCAAAAATTAAATGTCAAGCCGGCAAGCTAGAATAACTAAATTCTGCCTTAGCATTTTTTTGTTTCGAAATATTGGCATTTTTTATATACAGGGTGGTCCAGATTTTAATAGACAAACTTCAGGAACGTACTAAACAACAAAAATTAACATCACTTTGCTCTATGATCATAGGGGCAGAAAGTCACCGTTTATGAGATACAGGGCGTTGAAATCATCAAACACAAAACAATTTTTTTAAATATCTGGAAAACCGCTTCATCAAATTTATCCAAATTTGGTACACATTTTTTTTCGAATATTTCTCCTAGTTCTGTATGCGCACAGTTCAAATCCAATAACCAGTGGCGGAGAAACAAGGACGTTGTTTCCTTATTTAGAGTAAAACTTCTACGCCACTGAATTAATTGGTAATATGAGTACATTTTACAACGGTCTGAAATATTCCGGATGAAAAAACATTCTTTTATTTTTGTCGAAAAGTGGTTGGTTTACGAGTTATGAGACATATTATCCAAGTAAATAAAGCGTTGAAGTAGGGAAAAATAAAACGAATTTGGGTGGTCCAGATTTTTAATAGACAAACTTCGGGAAAGTACTAAACAACAAAAATTAACATCACTTTGCTCTATGAACATAGGCGCAGAAAGCCACCGTTTATGAGATACAGGGCGTTGAAATGAACAAAAATAAAACAATTTTTTTAAATATCTGGGAAATCGCTTCGTCAAATTTAACCAAATTTGGTACAAACTTTTTTTTCAAATATTTGTCCTAGTTCTGTATGCACACAGTCCAAATCCAAAAACCAGTGGCGGAGAAACAAGGACGTTGTTTCCTTATTTAGAGTAAAACTTCTACGCCACTGAATTAATTGGTAATATGAGTACATTTTACAACGGTCTGAAATATTCCGGATGAAAAAACATTCTTTTATTTGTATCGAAAAGTGGTTGGTTTACGAGTTATGAGACATATTATCCAAGTAAATAAAGCGTTGAAGTAGGGAAAAATAAAACGAATTTGGGTGGTCCAGATTTTAATAGACAAACTTCAGGAACGTACTAAACAACAAAAATTAACATCACTTTGCTCTATGAACATAGGCACAGAAAGCCACCGTTTATGAGATACAGGGCGTTGAAATCATCAAACACAAAACAATTTTTTTAAATATCTGGAAAACCGCTTCATCAAATTTATCCAAATTTGGTACACATTTTTTTTCGAATATTTCTCCTAGTTCTGTATGCGCACAGTCCAAATCCAATAACCAGTGGCGGAGAAACAAGGACGTTGTTTCCTTATTTAGAGTAAAACTTCTACGCCACTGAATTAATTGGTAATATGAATACATTTTACAACGGCCTGAAATATTCCGGATGAAAAAACACTCTTTTATTTTTGTCGAAAAGTGAATGGTTTAAGAGTTATGAGACATATTATGATGCGGTTTTCCGGATATTTAAAAAAATTGTTTTATTTTTGATAATTTCAACGCCCTGTATCTCATAAACGGTGGCTTTCTGCGCCTATGTTCATAGAGCAATGTGTGTTAATTTATATTGTTTAGTAGTTTCCCGAAGTTTGTCTATTAAAATCTGGACCACCCTGTATATTTTGGATGTCACAGGTAACAAAATTAGGAGTTCGCGAATCTTGTTATTATGAAATGTTGCAAAACAATCCGACTGTCGAGCGTACGCAAAAATTTTTATTACTACTGGTATTTTTGCAGTTCTAAAGTCTTCTAAATTGATCATCACTCTACACGGCGTTTGTTGTAAAAAAATGTACTACCCCTTTTGTCTTAAAAAATGCGCATTTTGTCCAGATTTTTAAATTGTATTAGACGAAATTCGAGAGTATTTAAAGATTTTACTACACTTCATCTAATGTACACTGAGGAAAAGGTTCAGAAAGGGATCTTTAAACTGGGAGTATTCGGTTTCTACCTGCTAGAGGAATACCAAAGAATATATTTTTTTTACCGCCAAACATCAAATGTTCTACTATTTCTTTTTAAATTCACTTTATTACTATCTCGGATTTTTTGTTAACTTGCTTAAATTTGAAGTCCCGAGATCTAACAGTCGACTTTACAGTGTATTTATGATATGTCGAGCTTGTTCTAATATATTAATTCAATTACCACCACATCAAATATTAAATAGATAATTATCATGCTGTTGAAGATACTTTAGACAAATTATCATGTACAATGTACATTTCGCGATACCACAGCGTTGTCAGTAATCTATTCTGTCATATTGTTTTTATTATCCATTATCTGTTTGTATTAGGTACATATTCTCGTGTTTTGTTGTTTAATCTTGTTTTGTTAATTGTTTATTTGTTTTTTGCGTACTTTATTGTTACTTGATTTTGCAATTTTCTTTGTTTAAATTATCGTATGTTTCAGTTTTTTGCATTGTAATATGTTCTGCAATTAAGCTTTGCCCGTTGGATATATTACTGTAACAATAAAAAAAAAATAAAAATTCGAAAACAGAAAGTATCTTTATTACATTTTGTTTTCTGTCATGGGGATGTATTTTTAGTAATTATTACTTACATATACATGAACAAAACAGTGGCATTTTTTAAATTTTACAAAAGGGTCTAGTTACTGTAATAGTATGCATTAGCAGATGATCAACTTTGAACTAAAATAATGGAACTTTTCTAATGTCACTTTTCATTTCGTATCCCCATTTTCAAAATACAGGGTGTCAAAATTAAAATGATTGTTATTAATAACTCGGGTGATTGTAGATATTTATTTGAAATTTAGGACAAATTTTGATCTTAAATTGGCACACTTTTTGTGTAATTTTGGTTTAAAATATCAAAGTGCGAACGGAGGGGACGGGAGTTGAAAAAAGTCTCATTACTTTAGTCCAAAGAATATGCGGTTAACTGCATGACCTACTAATTTGTAACACCCTGTATAATTTGCCCAACTTTCATAGTTCCGTCTCTATATTTCAACAACCCTGTATATGAGGAGAAAAGATAGTATTTTTGTTCATTCTTGCAAAAACGTCATTTTCTAGTTGCAAAATATGTATGTTATTTTATTTTCTTTTTGGGGCATTCCCTAGAGCATTTCTAATTAATAACCGCTATTAAAAGTAGAGGACAAATTTTGATCTTAAATTGGCACACTTTTTGTGTAATTTTAGTTTAAAATATCAAAGTGTGAACGGAGGGGACGGGAGTTGAAAAGAGTCTCATTACTTTAGTCCAAAGAATATGCGGTTAACTGCATGACCTACTAATTTGTAACACCCTGTATAATTTGCCCAACTTTCATAGTTCCGTCTCTATATTTCAACAACCCTGTATATGAGGAGAAAAGATAGTATTTTTGTTCATTCTTGCAAAAACGTCATTTTCTAGTTGCAAAATATGTATGTTATTTTATTTTCTTTTTGGGGCATTTCCTAGAGCATTTCTAATTAATAACCGCTATTAAAAGTAGTGTTCTATAACCAGTAAAAAGTAAAAGATTTCCATGATCTATGCGTATTTTCCAGTTGGGTTATGTAGTGCACGAAAAAACTCTATTTATCTTCTGCTGAAAGAACCTACAGTTTGCCCAAAAATCGATATCAAGAACAGTAATGTTCCAACGACATCCTTTGCATATTTTTTATTAAATATGTCAATGTCCTAATTACTTACAATTTTTCTCTTGTCATCATGTCTATTTTTTCCGTTTGATATGACTTCTAGTGTTTCTTCTTTGTCTTTGCCATTTTTCAAAATATATTGTCCTAGTTACTGTTCTATTATAATATTCTTTAAGGGACATTTTCAGATCATACTGCTTATTAGGTTATTTTCAAAAATGAATGCTTTGTTTGATTCTTTCAGCTTCTACCATCTGTTATTTCGAAATTGTATCCATTTTCCAAACTTTGACTAGATTTTGTCTTTTCAGACTGTAAACTAATAAAATTTTGAATATATTTTTGTTCATTTTCTTCGAGTTTAACAAATTTTTAATTATTTGTAGTTTCTTAACTCAAAACGTTTGACTTGTAATAATGTGAAAACATTTTTTTACTTTCCAAATCTCGTAACCAAACAAATTGTCAACGAAATAAATGTTTTGCCAACTTGTTTTGCTTATGCATGCACTGCTACCTGATGATTTATCAACAGTGAGCTGTGATTCGTTTGTTTCTGTGTTATCAATATTATGACTACACTGTGGTGTCGAGCTTACATCGCAAATTTTTAACAGTAGTTACTTTACTAACATGGGCTGTACTGGTTTACGAACCACAACGATTGAATCTTATTCCTTTTTATATTTTTTCAGGATGATACCTCAGGAGACTACAAAAAAGCTTTGCTTGCGGTAGTTGGTTAACCCGAAATAAATCAAAATTTAGCCAAGACTTGAAAATTTTAAATCTCATTGTTCGATTTTATCATTAGTTTAGTCGCCGAAAAAAATGTCGCCTTGATATTATTTTTTTATATTCTTTTTCAGGATGAGAATTCAGGAGAAGTCAAAAAAATTTTGCTTGCCCTTGTTGGTTAATGTGAACTAGTTTTAAATTTACTCTAAGATTTTTTAATTATTGTATGTTGTATGTATTCTTCCTATACCAAATTTAAAAATAAATACATTTTTACATAATAGGAATTGTTTTATTTTCTTCAATTACAGAGTTTAAAATACGGTAAATTATTTATCAATGTTTTTAGTAGCATAACCAGATAAATAAAATATGTCATGATTTTAAAAATTCAGTTTAAATCAGTAGGTATCAAAATTATATTTTTTTAAATATTAACTTGCTAACATTTTCTGAAATACACTAATGCAAACAATTAAAGGGGCAAAAGAATGTCCGAAATTTATCCATGATTTTTTACAGTCTGTATTTAGGAGAAAAATGGTCGTATCGGGAATTAAAAAAAAGCATTTTGAAGCTCTAAGATTCTAGTTTTTAGACCTTTCGGTCAAAAATTTTTAGGAGTGACGGTTTTCATGCAAATCTAAGAAATAGCGCGACAAAAAAATTTTGCAATTTTTTTTCTGAGCACGGACTTGAAAAATTTTTTTTCAGCAAAGCCATTGCATGGACCAGGTAGCTTGTCTATTCAGCTTCAATTTCCTTTTTTTAAATTTCGATACAACCATTTTTCATCGAAATATCGGAAAAGGATTCTTTTGTCTTCAATCATCGATACCTTGGCAATAAATGGTCGTACACAGAATTGAAGGGCAGTTTCAAAAACGAATAAATTTCCTATCTTTTACACAAATTTAAAAAACAGGAAAAAATGGTAATTTGTGGTTTTTTAGAAAATTGACGGCTAAATTGAAAATATTCACGCAATGACTAATGTTAAGCATGACTTTTACAGTTCGATATACCCAGAAAAAAGAACCCTGTGAAGTTTCATCTCGATCTAGCGAACCGTTTCTTTGTTTCAAACTTTTGAAAAAAATTAAAAGGTCACGTTTTTTGAGCTTAAACACTTCATAATCATGATTGAAATGGAAAAAAATATTTTTTTTCAGGTTTTCTCACACTTTTACAGCAAATAACGTTTAAATTGATGAAAAAAAAAAATTGAGGTTTTCTCACATTTTTACAGCAAATAACGTAATAAATTTTCGAATTTTTTTTTTTGGAAAACCTTCTGGACATTGAAGAAAAAAAAATTCAATCGTTTCCAGCACGATTCGGCTTTTCCGTCCTATGGTTCTGTTCAACAACTTTTAATTAAATTAAAATTAAAGTTGATGACCCAAAATAGATTTCGACCCCGATTCATACCGTTTTTTGAGACAAATTTTTAATTAATTTTTGTTTAGAATCACTTAAAAACAGTTTTTTCAAAACTACCCTTTTTCTTCTCTGAAAAAAATTTTCGAAAACAATTTTTTTTTCATTTGGCAAAATTTTTTTGTCGCGCTATTTCTTAGAATTGCATGATAACCGTAGCTCCTAAAAATTTTCGACCGAAAGATCTAAAAACTAGAATCTCAGCTTCAAAAAGCTTTTTTTTTAATTCACTAAACTACAGTCAAAAATCACGGAAAAATTTCGGAAATTCTTTTGACCCTTTAATTGTTTGCATTAGTGTATATTAGCTATTTCTCTTAAAATAGATAATGAAAATGGAAGCTAGTGTAAATTTTTCAAGTAATGAGAAAATCCAGTCTAGAATATTCGACGAAATGTTCAAGGAAAAACTGAATTAGAAATTAATTACGAAACCTTAAAATTTACTTCGTAATGACAATTTAATTTCAATCAAGTTTTATCTGTTAATGAACATAGTACGACGAGAAAATGACTAAATAATGTTTCATTTATCAACAGAAAATTAAAATCGTTTTTAATAAACTAAAGAAAATGGCACTACATAAATATAGTATTGTAAAATAGATGCTGTACTTGGTTAATACTGGTGCTTCGATAATAGTCAAACTGATCTCTAGTAAAATGCAGAATTAACAAAAAAAAACAAAAGTTACAATATTTATATTGCCTGTTAGAAAATTAAATAAAAAAGTATATATCCTTGACTAGTTCTAAATATCGCCAGTTGTTAAAGTAACATAAAAAAAGGTCTTCTCATTCATTATTTAATAATCTGTAACCGAAAACTGGTCTATGTATAAAACCTTAGCAGCAACTTAGCTTAGAAGTCGAACAATATTGTTAAAGAAACGGAGGCACGAAATACAATAACCAAAACGTCTACTTTTTATACATTGTTTGCTGTCTGTTACTCGTATTTGCAAAGATTCATCTCACTCTACCATGCTGAATACACTAAAATGATTTAAGAACTGAAAAATAATGTGAATTTAAAACGGATGTCACTAATCTTGATTGCCACTGTTACTTCCGTCGACTTTGATAAGCTAAAAAGCCACGTTGTCAAATACACTCGTACTTTGGTCACCTACATAAGTTTATATGCCAATATGTATGTAAATACAATATTTATTTGCATATGATTAAATTAACGTTGTTCTGTATTTGATGTTGATCATAGTTGCGATAAGCAAAAATCAGTTCAGGTACCTTAATTTTCCTTCTTCGCAAAATCCAAAGATCAGTAATTGCAACATTTTTGCATTTTTGTACGACCAGATATGGAAGTTTGTAAACAATCGTCCTAAACTAATGTTGCAATAACTGTGTTTTATTGATAACGATATAATAAACAGAATAAGTCTAAACAAATAATAAATAGGATAGAGTGAGTAAGCAAGATATGTTAAAATGTTAAATCTGAAACGTTAGACACTATGCATAACATTTCAAATACAGTTGGGCACTAAAATTTAGTAAACTTCACAGTTTTCTATGAAGAATTAATAAAAATTCCATTTCCTTCAGATGACAACATAAATTGAGTGGAATAAATGGATAAATACTCAAAAGATTTTTTTTCATTTTAATTCAATTAATATCATGTAAGTACATTAATTTAAATTTCATGTTTATTAATGTATTTTTAAATAATAATAGTCAAGAAATAAGGTGATCAAAACAGAAGTCTCTATATCGCCTATGTTATCTTAATTTGTATTCGGAAAAAATCTGATTGTTTTTTCAAGTCTCAAATTAATGAAAACGAAGCGCGGGAAAATGCACGGAAGCCATGTTGTGACGTCACGGCACATAATATCTCTAGCTATGGGAGCAGACGAAATCAAACAAACCTAGCTAAAATTATTTTAACTTTTACAGATTAAAAAAAAATACTTATTCCCTTATTGCACCAGTATTCAGTTGAAGTTCGTGCTATCCTATTTTTACTTGTTTGCTTTTTTCAGTGTGAAATTTTTGATTAGGTAAAAGGTTTATTAAAATTAACACTGGATGGAAAAATACCAACAGTGAAAAACTGAAACAATACCACAAATAAGTAACTTGAGTCTATAGCCATGAATACATTCAGTTTTGAAGTATATTGCAAAGCACCGGCTCTGCAAAATATCTTAACCATTGTATCTTATGGGTTTTGAGGGGTGTAATTCACACTATACGCGCAGCGACTTGGCAAGCAACAGACTTTGCACGCGACGTTCTTCCGAAAGAATATTTGCAGGGCATGTGCCGTGCATGTTCCGGCAAGTGTGAATACTCTCCAGGCAGTCAACTTGCAACCATAGGATTTTTAGTTACGTTTCGTCAGAACAAGATGAAATTCTTATTGAATATGTCAGAGAAAATGAGGTTATTTACGATTTTTCTCACAAAAAATACTCAAGACAGTGTACAAAAACATATGGAAAAAAATTGGCGAGAAATTGCAACAAGGTAGGTATTTATTAAACATGTATTAATCTATACAGATATATTAAATCAAACACAATTTCATAACAATAAAATTTTGTAATTTAAAAAAACGTCTTTTTCTTTTTCGGGAATTTTTATTTTCTTGCTCTTCTTCATCTAAAAAGATTAGAACAATTTTTACCAAAATGGAAGTCGCGAACAATATTTCACAAAGCTAGGGAACTACTACCTGCGAACCTGCGGCATGTCGCAGTGTGAATTGTCTCTGAAAACTGGGCCCATGCCGAGTATGTGCCCTGCCGTTGCCGATCCGGTTTCTTGCTGGTCTAATGAGAATCGGCCTTTATTTAACGATTACATAGAACGCCGTGCTGATTTGATAATCAGTTTTGAAGTAATTTAAAATATAACTAACTACTGTTTTTAGCTTCTAGCATTTTAAAACAATTTGAAAATAATTTTTCGTGGAAAAATAAAAACGCTAGATAGGTATTTATAAATACTTATCAGACTTGTATATTACCTTTCAACGTCTATCGAGGAAAATAATGTATATTATTATTCACAGTACACTTCTTTGAATTCTATTAGTGTACTACAACAGTACAACATCGAAACAAACAGGGAAGGGATTATAATACCATTAATACCAAGTACAATTAACTCAACATTGCGCCACTTTATCCCAAACGTTTCTGCCTACCAATAAACGAAGAGAATTCTCAGTCATGTGCACTACACGTCAGATAACCTTCATTGGTTGGTGTTGGTTTCTCACTTTATTATTTAATGTACTGGGAAGAAGCATCGTCAGCGTCAAGGCACTGCGAAGTATAGATATTAGTAAGCGGAATTCCAGGACCATAGAAAACACGTAAACAACTCCAATTTGACGTAAGTACACTTTTCAAAATATCTGTATATATAATTAAGCGACTGAAAAAAATCAACCAGTCGTAATCCAGACCGTCCAGATGTACCAAAGAAACAATCAAAATAACATGAGAGGTGTGGTTATTTCTACCGGCTACAAAAGTAAATATAGATCCCGCGAAATATAAACACTTCTTTACCCGTTTGAAAGCGTATTACTGTTAGTCGGTGTCTTATTTTATTAATAATTAAATGTTAATTTGTTTCAGGTGGAACCATGAGTCATTCAGGTTATAACCCATATCAACAGGTAAGTGAAAGTTTCTAGATTTGCTTAATATTCGAATACTTAAATCAGTCTATAGATTAATATTTTTAAACTGTGCTTAAACATTTAACTGCGACTTTAAAAATATATACTTATTAAATACATATTATATTTGTTCATTATCCTGAGTATAGATTACATATACAAGTCAGAATCAAATTGACCTCGTTTGTGAATAAAATGCACTGTTAAAATTTTAATTTAATTCAGTATCACAAGATTTAAACATTAATCAATAGCTATGCTAAAGACAGACTTGTAAACTGACATTTTACCTAATTAATTGTTGGTTCACAGACGACTATACTAAAGTAATTTGAGAAGATTTGTACAAATTCGAGATCTCCGATTAAACTATTAATACTTATTACCAAAGACAGTGCAATATTCTTTTATTGTTTGGTCCTCGACCTTGACCTTGAAGCAATTGTTAGCACAGTTTATGAACTGGTACGGTTTACAAATATCTACGTTTAATTTAACACCATTTCAGACGCAGCTAAAGAAACAATATTCATTTCTTTAACAAGGGAAACTGTGATTAGATATTTTCTGTACACCTTTCATATGAAATTTAAAAAATAATGCTGATTCGGTAATTGATAGGTATTGATTTGCCCTACTTAGGTACCAATGTGGGATCGTTTCAATTATTTAAAAACATAGCCTAACATGCTGTGGTCGTTAAAATATTTAATTTTCTGTAATTCTATGATTTTTTTTTAAATATGGAAACGCCTTGCCCTATATACCTGAAAATACTTTGAGTAAAAATAAAAATAAAAATACCAACTGCTTTGCTTTCAAGTAAGTAGCATTTTCAGCTTCCAAAGCAATGTCTTTTTTAATGGTTCTATCCAATGTTTGCAATTTTTATTATTTATAAGCTAAAATTATTTTATATTCTAAGCACAATGTTTGTGGACAATTATTTATAGAGCGACATGTTTTCACCTCACTATATGTAACAAGGTCGTACATTTTTGTTTCATACAAGATAAAAATAGATGTTAGTACCTACTATTATATTTATGCTGATTGAGAAGACACTCAAACTAATGCAAATATAGCTGAACAAAAGCACCACTGCTAACGTTAGTAGTTGGCGACTTTTATTCCTCACCAGAGAAAAATAAAAATTCTTGCTCTAATTTTTGTATTCTTTAATGTTACGTATTCTGAGCTATCCCAATTAAAAGAAGAGTATTAATTTTTTCAATATCAGAGTTTTCATCAAGCATCTACCTACATATTGAATTTGATTATAAAATTCCCCGTCTTTAAAATATTCAGTTTATCAGAATATGACTCGTATAGGTCTTATAAATAATAAATATTACAGACTTATACTTTACTAAGTAAATCTTTGGCAGATGAGAATTTGAGAAAAATTTGTAAAGGTATTAAAGTAATTCAAATAAATTATAAAAAAATGTTTCCTAAAATATCCTGTCAAGTCAAGTCAGTGTTCTTTGATACCAAACATTTTTTAGAAAACATTTTATTTGAATTACTTTTATGAAAAGAGTAAAAAATGCGAGGTCTAATAATAAAAATTAAAAAAAAAACTTAATAACTTTGAATGTCAAAGCAGAGAATCTAATACCTATTAAAAATGTATAATAAAAAAAAGTTACAAAGATATGTTGCAGGTATATACTGTATATTTATTTATATTATAAATTGTTTCGTTATCGACATGTTTTCTTAAAAGATAGATATTTACAATCAGTGATTTACTGCCATTATTATTTATAGTAATTGACGGTTATTTATATGACCTATTGGTTATTGGTATTGGTTATATTGATTTATTATACTGTAGATAGGTTGTTAAAAAAATTAGACTATTTAATTTTTGTTCCTGGCAAATGAAAAATCTACAACGTGTTTGTAAACAATTCTATAAAATAGATGGTGTAAATTTATTTTGTACCTGAAAAACGATTGTATTTTCATGTTTATGTAAAAGTCTATTCTTAATCGTTACTATATCACTGGATAAGTTTATTTTGTTCCTAAACTGAAAATATGAAAGTATCTTTTAGCACTCGATAATATTTTATTAGATACAATATTTTTATGATGCTTATAATTCGATAGAACTGTTAAAAAATATCAGCGATTACTACAAATAGAAAACAAGGTTTTCCAAGTAAGATATTTTTGAAATGTTTTAGTTGTATAAACAGTAATTAAATTACGGGGATCAATAATATTACGCAGGCCAATCATAGCTATATTTCCTTATTTAAGTATTAGTCACTAACAAAATTCTGCAGAGTTTTTTTTTTTCAAGTGTTTTAAATATTTATTTGTTGATGTTATACGTACTCCAAAGATTAGTTTCTTTGTTGTTATTTACAATGGTACCTATATAATAGCAGAATTTTATTTTAAGAAAATTTAATAATTGTTTCATTTTGAAATTGATTTAAAAAAACATAAAATATAGTTCAATGGAAATTGTATTTTTGGATCGGCGAAGATTATTTGTTTATTATCACGATTAGTCCAATTTCACACAAATTGTTGTTTTAATTGGGATGCAAATCCATAAAAATCACATTCGTCACGGGCAACAATTCTGAAAACTATTTGTGGATATGTACACCAATTGTGTCTAAATAAATGACGTATAAACAAATTTTAATTATAAATAGATCTGACTAACCGGAGGAATAACAAACTATAACAAAGATATTCAAAATTAAGTTCGCGAGATATTGCACTACAGAATTTGTAATCGTAAACAATTGATGACTCAAAATTGTGACGTCAAAATGAATTGCGTCCGAGGGTTTTCTCTTCGTCAAATGACGATATCCCTCGCCAGAATTTACCCATGATTGTACCAATTTTGGATAAACTGAATCAGGAAGACTTATTCAGTACAGTATTATTATTACAGTTATTCAGTACAGTATTTTGAAAGTATAATTTTTTTCGTTTCCCCTTATGCGCGCGACTGATACTATCGATTTATCTCCCTGCCGTTTTGGCGCTGAACTGCCTGAAACCGGACAATGGGACGTCACGGAAACAAAATGTAAACACCCTAAAAACATACTTTTAGTTTAATTAATTAGCGGAATGACAATTAAATTAATGCCTGGTAATAGATTCAAACGTGTAAAACAGTTCATTAGCAAATTAATTGGTGGGTGATGATAAAGGTGATAAGGGGTCAAATGCTATTTTGTCACGATCACGAATAACAAAAAACAGCGGAATTGTAGCGGTGATGAACGTTTTTACACAAATGAAATGAAAAGTCGAAACATAACAGGCGTTTGATATATGTCGAGATATAATAATTTTGCAATGATGTTATATTTAATATGTAACATAGTTTGTTAAGAGGCTCTTGGTAGGTTCCAAATCAAGGTATCATAAAGCAGTACTACAAAAAATATTCATAACTACATATGTATAATAATAATTATTGCAATTCTTAAACAAAAAAGGCCATGAAACAGTTTTTTAACTCCACTGAACAATTTGATCAAATACACTTGTCGCATTTTGAAGACGCAACGACGAAATACAATAATTTAGGAGAAAAATTAGGTTATTTCTATAATTTTTTTGCAAATGATTGTGGAATGACGAGATGTGTAGAAATATTTTACGAATTTAATTTTAATCACTTTATTTGATTAGGTATTTTTACCGCGCTAAATGAATTTGACAAGGAATATTCTGATAATTAAATCAGAAAGTTTTTGAAACATTAACTGTGTTGTTATACAGGGTGTTTATAAATATTTTAGGGGGTGGTTGCCGAAGTTATTTTGTGCAAAAAGTTCATATAAATATAGGTCGAAATGTACTTCATTTCTGAGATACAAAGTGATTAAATTTTAATTTTTTATTTATTTTTATTAATTATTTCAAATAGTTTTAGCGACATTAACTCGAAATTTGAAAAACGCTTTGGAGGGATGAATGTGCATTTTTTGAGGTGATCCGAATATTTCTACTTGCACCTTTAGATAAAAGATTAGCAAAACCTACAAGAAAATATGTTTTATTTTTTCCTCAAAACCGGTGCATCCTGCGAAAAAAATTGAAGAGACCAATTTCATTTAGAATTAATGGCGGATTTCTAAAAAAATGTCAAAACGGAAAAATTACAGTGGCGTACCATTTTTTAAAAAAAAGGTCGTGGCATTCCCGCACGAACGCCACTGGTGGAAGTAGAAATATTCGGATCACCCCAAAAAATGCATATTTATCCCTTTCTTTATCTTTATCTTTAAAACTCGGAAATAATTCTGGAGCTTGGTAGAAAAAGGGCCAATGTCCATTGCAGTGGACATTGGTCGTATGTCAAACGTTTTAAAAGTATTTCAAGGACCAAAGTCCATACATTGGCCCTTTTTCTATTAAATTAAGATGGACTTAGGCCATTTTAAAATTTAAATAATTAAGGCTTATAATACTTGTTGACATTGGCCCTTTTTGTGATGCAAATATGTAACATGGGTAGTCTCCAATTTTTGGACATTGGCCCTTTTTCTACCAAGTTCCAGAATTAATAAAAATAATAAAAAATTAAAATTTAAACAGTCTGTATCTCGGAAACGAAGCATATTTCGACCTTCGTTTATATGAATTTTTTTCACAAAATTACTTCGGCAACCACCCCTTAATATTTCGCATTTATTTACAAACACCCTGTATTAAATTACAGTGATTAATGTGAGATATTTCTGGCTGGTAAAAATTAAATTTATAAAATCCACCCACCCCTTGACTGATGCTTTAGTCCGAAGGGGTTATTATTTAAAAGTTTTCTTTTCAGTGTGACAAAAATACTCAATCAGATAAAAAAAAGTAACTACAAGTAATAACAAGCAAAAAAAATTCTAGATAAAAATCAGCGCTTTGATACATTAGCTTGTTACTCTGTACTATGTTTGCTCAAAATATTTGTTTCTTCATAAAAGATAGTATCTCGGATATTTTTCACAATAGATATAGAAAAAATAAACTTATAAAACAGAAAACTTTTATAGTGTCTGTGTCATTTTACAATTTTATTCCCTGAATTATTTACACTTGCCTGTTCATTTTTTATATACACAATAGCAGGGCATACACATACATAGTTTTATCTGCGGACGTAAATTGTACAGAAAAATCTTTGGATTCGATAATAAAAATTAAAAGTGGTCATATTTTGATAATGAAGGGAGTCATACCTATTTTTAAGGGATGATTTCTGTGCTCACATAGAGAACTTATTTCGTGGCGAAAAAATTTTGAACGAAATGCAAAATTAAAATTAAAGTTGTCGAGCCTCAGGGTTGAAAAGATTTGCACATATCGTATATGTGTAAAATACTTTTTTCTATAATCAACTATAAGTGCAAACAGGTTTTTACATTTCACAAAATTATTTTTTTGTAGTTATACGTGCTTAAAGTTTAATTCGCTGGTAACATTTTGGTTTTCAGTCTTCATAATGCTGTAACTTTAGGAAAAAATAAAAATTTTGAGAAAAATAAGTCACTAAATAAGTATACCTTTCTAGATTTCAAGGTCGCCTATCTCTAATTTATCTTTTTATTTCACAAGTTTCTTCCGAATTTTTTTCTTCATGAAAGTTCCCTATATGGACCTAGAAATCATCCCCTACAAAATCGTTTTATTAACAAAATATGATCACTTTATTTTTCACCAGCTGCTACTGGTCATTTCCGAGAAGAAATCAGAAATGTTTATCATAGAAGAAATGGTTTATCTTAGAAGAAATATAACATATGACTGTTAAAAGAATTAGAATTGATCATTGGGTTCATATTATCCCTATGATTTCTGCTTTCTGAAGTTATTAAAATATTATCAAGTTGTACTATTTATTTGTGTTAGTTACTAAAGAAGTGCTGATGTGATTAATCCATTTTCCGCATTTGTCCCATAGTTTTTAATAATAATCTTAATTAAATCTGATAAAATTCTTTATGTATGCTCTGCTATAGCGCAAATGTGAACTTAGTTTCTTCTCTTACCAGCAATACTCCTCACAACACTCATAAGTTCAAATGAGGATTGATTTAATTTATTTTCTTTGGCCAAACTTCAACTGTTGCAAAATTAATTGAAAACTTTAAATTTTAATAAATTCACATTTCTAATTATTTCCTACTAGGGATCAGCACCAGGTGCCCCCTCTCCACACCCACAACAAGCACAGGCCCCCTACGGGGGAGCACCATACCAATCACACACCTCCCCATATCCTTCCGGAGGGGGTGTGAATCCAAACAGTTTTGGATTCTCCTCAAACACCCCCATGTACATGCCCCAAGCAATGCCCATGCCTGCCTACCCACCCACTGCTGGTTATCCCCCTGCCTCTGGAGGATCAACCTATCCTCCAGCTCCTGGGGGAGCTTCCTACCCTCCAGCTCCCGGGGGAGCTTCCTATCCTCCAGCTCCTGGGGGAGCTTCCTATCCTCCAGCTCCAGGGGGAGCTTCCTATCCTCCAGCTCCCGGGGGAGCTTCCTATCCACCTGCTTCCTCCGGAAGTGGATATCCTCCAGCTTCAGGAGGTGGATATCCTCCATCAGGAGGGGGATACCCGCCAGCCTCCTATCCCAATGCTCCTGGTGCTCCTCCCAGTGGTCAAGCGTATCCATCTAGAGAACCCGATAGAGGACCTTACGGTGGTTTTTCGTATACACAGCACAGTAGCCCACAGATGTCACAAGGACATGTTGCTGCGAAACCAAAGGTATAACTACAAAGTTTTTATTGTGAAAGTCTGAACTGTCTCTTTGACTAGCTAGAGTTTGTAGAGCACTGTTTGGTGTAAATGGTGATAAGCTTTTGGGTAAAACAAGGGAAAGGTTGTTTGATAGAGATTTTTTTTAGGAACATGTCGTAACTTTAGGAGGTTTCTTGGGTCACTCTAGTAGACCAAAAAGCCGTAATGAACCAATAATGTAAAGTCTGTTTTTAAGATACAGTACATTGAAAGTTTAAAAAATACATTGTCATTTATTTATATGTCTGAAGATGTTTAACGTGGTTCGATGAAACTTGGACTAATAATGTACTTAAATTAAGGACAACAATTGGCTCAAAAATAGAGATAAAAATATGGAATTAGTTACCAAACTAATGATAGACAATAGTAGAGTTTCGGATTAAATGAAACTTTAGGAAAAACACAATTTTCTGAATGTCCATGATGCGTATCTTTAGAGGAGAACAGAAAATTATGTTTTTCTAAAACTATTGACCGTTCTTCGCAATATAGGTATGAAACGGATAAAATTTATTTATGTTGTGCAAAAATGTTTGCTAAATATACACTTTACTTATTTGCTAACATGTTAAAGTTGAAATAAACATAATATATATTTTTAGTTTTAAAAGAAAACAGTATTTTCAAATTTTTAATTTTCATTTCACTCGATATACAGAGTAAGTACCAAAGTAGGTATTTCTATAGTAATTTTTTTTGGAAACCATAAATTATTAGATACATTCTACTAAGAAACGATTTTAATGCTAAATTTTATTACTTATATCTTTATTATAGAGGATGAACCATTTGAAATGTACCTACAATGCCCTTAATAAATATAATAATACATGCCAAATAAACATAAACATGCTCTATCTGTTTAGTGTTATATGTTGCATTTGCTGTTATTTTCTTGTTACAAATTTAGTATACACGAATATACTTCAACAAATAATCTAAATGACAAGAAAAATAATAATGAAAATTATATGTAATACAAAACATTTAAGTATTGTTTCTCTTTTAATTTGAATAAATATTTGCCTACCTATTTGTTCAACGTAGAAAAATTATATGTATACCTGCCTTATCAGTAAAATAATACAATGGTGGCACTTCAAAATTATAATTCCAAACGTCGGCTATTGATAAACAGGAATTTATGCAAATAAAAGTAAAATAGTACAAATTTCTCTTTTAACGTACCTTCCAATATACCGTAAAATCGTTATTTCTCTCATATCTTTAACAGTATACACAATGGTAACACAAGCTTTAACCATTATTTCAGACATTAATATAATTTTCTTTATTGTTTTTTTCAGAGGACACCTACGGTGGTTCCAGCCAGCTCCTTTAACCCACGAGCAGATGCAGAAGTTTTAAGAAAGGCTATGAAAGGTTTCGGTACTGACGAGAAAGCCATCATCAATGTGCTCAGTAAGAGGTCCAATGCACAGAGATTGCAAATTGCTGTGGAATTCAAGACATTATATGGAAAGGTAAATAATTTTTTACAGTAAATTGGAAATTGAATAGGATAAAAAGGAAAATATTCACTGAAACAAAATTGATAACGTTAAATGAATATTTTACTCGAATTTTTAAGACCTTCCTTCACTAACTAAAATTTGTGATTTCTTGTATGTTACTGGCACAAGACATTCAAAACATGGTTTACATTTTCTAGGATTTGATAAAGGACCTGAAAAGCGAACTAAGCGGAAACTTTGAGAATCTGGTGGTAGCGATGATGACTCCCCTACCCGAGTTTTATGCCAAAGAATTGCACGATGCCATGAGTGGTTTGGGAACAGACGAAGATGTCCTGATCGAAGTCTTGTGCACTATGTCCAACAATGAAATTAGAGTTATAAGACAAGCGTACCATTCCAGTAAGTTGACCAATACAAAACCTAAACGAAATATTTATAACTTTCTAATTGTGTAACCCACAAGGCTACGGTACGGTTCGAAATGGTTTGGAGTAATAATAAACTGATAATGTAAATCAGCCGTGGGAGCATTATTAGCTTTCTTAAATATTCATGATAAAATATATAAATGATACATGTATATGTTCTAACATTTACCTCCAACATTTCTGTACTGTATTGCAAAATTTTCATAAGTAATATGTTTGGGGCTATTTTTAATTAATTATCGATAGCTTTTTAATGGAATTTCCCTAATACAGATATATGAAGTTTAGATAATTTAATGAAATAGATAAAAACATAAATTTCTGAGGGTCAAAGAAATAGAGCTCCATATTCTTGTAATCTCAAGATAAACATTTACCTTAGAACGGTCCTAGAAAGAATACTTACACTAAGCTTTTATAAAATTCCTCGGTAACCCATATATAATATGAAAAAATTTGTTTAATTAGATATAAGTACGTTCAACTACGTTTTTATTAGGTTTATATACGCATATGATAAGATTTTATTACTCTATCTGATTTCGGAAAGGGGGTTGTTAAGGAAATATCAACTTCTGAATAAAAAGCGTAGTAACTAAACAATTAACAATAATATCACGAATATAGTAATATCTTACAGAAATCAAGTCACCTTGGATAAGATTTCCTTAAAAGCTTTTAAATTTATAGTCATTCAAATGAAATGTTGTAATTAGACTTTGCCAGTTGTGTTTAATTAATCAAAATAATCTTACCAGCATCTCATCTTGTTACAAGTGAAAGGTGAACCTTGGCTTATACAGGATGTTTCAGTTCGGGTGAATCAAAGTTTAACCACAAATAGAACTCGATAAATAATTCAGAATTGCCTTATAAAGCAAAGGTTAGACCACCTAGACCCTACAAACATTTGTAATTTTTACAGTAAATTATGCACATGTGTAAATGTTAACACTACACATATGTTATAAGCATACCAAAGATTTCATAGATATGATTTTAAAAATCGACCAATGCGGTACAGTGAAAACGGTGAGACTGAGACCTTTGCTTTATAAAACAATTCTGAATTATTTATTGAGTTCTATTTGTAGTTAAAGTTTGACTCACACGAACTGAAACACCCTGTATATTTGTCAATAACATGGACCCCTAAAATATGTACCTTTATAATTGAAAAGCTAGTTCTGGTCATAGTATGTCAATCAATGGTGTAATGTATAAAGGAATCTGAAGATAACACTTCAATTTATTCAGAATAGATTCCTACTTTTGATTTCTCGTCTTAAAAACCAAGCCCTTATACTGGAAGTGGATGGAGCGGACTATTTTACATTCATATACGTAAGTTTTTGCAATATTTTTTGGGAAAGCAGTTATAACAAAAGATTATAATTGAAAGTTTTTTTGTTTGATGGTATCATACAATGATGACCTTGACCATAACCCAGAGATCAAACTTGAAGGTTCTTTGAAGGTCAAATAAAGTTACGAAATGGGAGAACCCTGTTCGCCTGAATTTAATGGGACTGCAAACAGGGTTCTCCTATTTCGTAACTTTATTTGACCTTCAAAGAACCTTCAAGTTTGATCTATGGGTTATGGTCAAGGTCATCATCGTATGATCCCATAAAACTTTCATCTAGAATCCATCGTCATAAGTGCTTTCCCAAAAAATATCGCAAAATCGTATTCAGAACCTTATTTGACCCTAAAATAACCCTTTAGGGTCACTTTGGCGCATAAGAAAGACATTTCCGAACGTAAAATTTTCCGCTCTATCCATTTAAAGTGTCAGAAATACATCTATGATATCTAAAAATCCAAGTACACCTTCAAATGACCTCTACGGTTGATCTTTGTGTCAAGGTCACCATCGACTCTTCTTGAAAATATATATCTTATTATTAGCTCTTTTATTTGTACTTTATTATAAAAGTATTAAGTAAATAAAAAAGATCCGTAAAAAATCCGATCAAATGAGGACAAAAAATGTTCCTCGACACCAAGAATCTAAGCATGCAAAATATATCTAACCTCGAATTATACTTCAAAATCTAGTAATCGGCTAGTGACAAAGGCAAAGTGAAATGTTGAGTAATGAAATCATTAAAAGAAATATCCTGAATTTTTGTTCTTGCGATATCACCATTGACAAAAGACCAACACATTCTAGAATAGCCGCTATGGAATGATTTGTATTACCATTTCCACATTTTACTCAGGTGGCTTCCATGTGAATAGAATGAATAAAATAAATTCCTTCGATTGTCAGTTGTCTCTGCATGTCGTCAAATCGAAATAGCGCCCATCGAACTTCATAAAACATTTGTTATATGCGAGGGGCAGACGAAAACTGCAAATCGGCCCAAGAGTAAAGTACCCTTAAATGTTTTAAGGAAAAGTTATTTCCCTCTAAAAGATTATCCCAAATATAAAGTTTCAGTTCATTATGTTGAAAAAGCGATTCCTAACAATTTTATAATTAAAACATTATAATTCCTGAATCCTTTAACATAAACTAAAGTTTACACCAAATTTGTTCTTATTTTTTATAACGGCCATATTAATTCCTGATTCAACTTGTTTTCAGGAATTATAATGTTTTTCTTGTAGAAGCGTACTAAAAAGAAGTTACTTTAGTAAGTAATGGATATTTTCGCTTGAATTATGGTACGAGGGAAAGTTGGAAAAATGTCAGGAATCGCTTTTTCAACATAATAAACTGAAACCTTACATACGGGCTAATCTTTTAGAGGGAAATAACTTTTCTTCATAAAATTTTTTCCTTGAAGGTAAGGGTTCTTTACTCTTAAGCCCATTTGCAGTTTTTGTATGTCCCTCGTATATAACACAAGTTTTATGAGGTTCGATGGGCGCTATTTTGATTTGACGACAGGCAGAGACAACAGACAATCGAAGGAATTCATAAAATTTATACATAAACTTTTTTCCCATATGGTGCAAACTTTTTGGATAGCACTGTATATAAAAAACACAAGACTAAGAATAAAATGCCATTTTGAAAGGATAGTATCAAGTGTTGAATATGACTAGATTAATATTATTTGTTTTTATACTTTTTTTTATTTCATTTGATTGGATTTTTTAGGAACAAATATTTTGAATTTATTTGAATTTGCTCTTCTTTTGTTTTAAATTTTATGTTTACCCTTAGAAAGCAAAATCTGGCTTTTCTGTCTTCAATCTTCTACTGCAAGCTTTGTCACTACTGTTTTAATTTTTTTTTTTTATATATATAATTTCTGGATTTTGAGGTGCCGTGGTCAGAATTCTACGTTAGTTAAACGAAAGTTAAACTTGATGTGACTGCTTTTGTTTTTTATTGTGTATTAACCAGTGTCGGTTTGCCATCTTGCCTCAAATCATCTTCTATAGTTTCTTGTGTTGTTTCCAGTGTATCACAAACCCTTAGAAAGCGACTTGAAAGGTGACACTGCCGGAACCTTCAAACGCCTCATGGTGTCACTTTGCAACGCCTGCAGGGACGAAAGCACCATAGTCAATCCCCAGTCCGCCCAGGCCGACGCGCAGGCCCTCTTACGCGCGGGAGAATTGCGTTTCGGAACCGACGAATCCACCTTCAACATGGTCTTGTGCCAACGTAACTACGGCCAATTACAGCTGATATTCCAGGAGTACGCTAGAATCACCGGGCACGATATAGAACAGGCCATTAAAAATGAGTTTTCTGGTGACGCCGAGGACGGATTCTTAGCTGTGATAAGGTCGATAAAGAACCAGGCAGCTTTCTTCGCCAAGCAACTGAATAAGAGCATGAAAGGCTTGGGAACGAATGACAGACAACTCATCAGATTGGTGGTGACTAGATGTGAGGTCGATATGGTTGAGGTAAAACGAGAGTACCAAGCCAAGTTTGGGGAATCTTTGGCTGATGCTATCAAGGTAAGTGCGGTTCATATTTTTTAATTTCGTACAAATATACTTCAAGTAATTATTTTAGTGATATGGACGGAATTCATAAAAATTAGTTGTACCTTTTTTGTTTTAGGGTGACACATCAGGGCATTACAAAAAGTGTTTATTAGCACTCATCGGCGAACCAGCCAGTTAAGACTTGAAATTTTTTCATATTTTTATATTCGTTTTACTCCATATAACGTGCATGTTTGTTTAAAAAATAAGTTTCTATTACAATGCATCACAGTATATTACGGTCTTGAATAATACAGATCTGAGATTACATACTTTTATATTGTTCTATGTTTTTAAATGTTTGTTGGCAGTTTGACCATATATTTTTATAATGTATTTACCGGGTCAATAAACGCCGTTTTATGCACTAATTAAATGTGTTTTCTTTGCCTTTAAGTAAAATATGTAAGTTCCAAAAATCAATGAAAACCGAATGAAGAATTAAAACTAACTTTAAAGTTTTTAGTTAAAGTTAAAATTATTTGGTGGATTTAAAAACCAAAATAAAATTTTAAACCCTAGAGAATATACAGGGTGTTCTCCAGTCAGAGATAGTCTGAAATTATTTTTAATCAAATGGTCGAGGCATAATTCGTATTTTTAGACTGCACTCTTGTCTACGCCGTCACTGAACAGCTCTCGAACTCTGTTGTATCGGCACACTTATAAACATTACTTTTGTATGATCTCCCCAAAATGTTTTTTGTCAATGGGGACGAAACGCTAAGTATTAATAAGGGTGTTTTCATAAAATTTATAATTTTTGGGTGAATTACAAAATTTAACTTTTTTTTGGAAGCAGAAACTTGAATACATATTTCCGAAGGATTTAGGTGCGCTGAATCCGAATCTGGCAGCAGAATTGCTCTATCACGTGAAGTTTTTAAGATATCTTAACCTAAAAGTGCAAAAAATACTGTTTTTCGTCATATTTGAGGTTATGTAGTAATGCCGTCTATTCTTTTTCAACTGCAATCAACTGTTTGACCTCTAAGGGATCCTTAGTAGATTTTCGCACATTAAGAAACTGATAAACTTAGAAATTTCAACATGTGATATCTCAACAAAAAAAAAAAGATATTTGAGCAAACTCGACGGCATTCGAAAGAGGGAGTCTTGTACTTTTAAATTATATGTATTTGGCATTACATAACCTCAAATATGAGGAAAAACAGCGTTTCTTGCACATTTAAGTTAGGATATCTCAAAAACCTGACGTGATAGAGCAATTCTGCGGCCAGATTCGGATTCAGCGCACCAAAATCCTTCAGGAATGCATATTAGTCTGTCTGCTTCTTGACCCTTGTTGACCTGTGTTATTAAATAACTAATATTAGTATGTGGATATAGATACACCTCACTAATTAATTGCCGTTTTATATCATATAAGACTTAATAAAAAATACTTGGAAATTTGATAGATTAAAAATATTATTTTAATTTTTAAATAAGTTCAAGTTTTCAATAAAACGGATTTGTATAATTTTTTGAAAGCAGGTTTAGTTTGAGAAGTTCAGTGTCAATGACCTCTGAGTTTAAATGAACTACATAATCCACGTGATGGGATATGACAACAGGACACTAGATGTGCAAAAACAAAAAAAAAAACATTTTATAACATTTACTTTAGTTTCAGTATCATCAACTCACAAGAAGGTGTTTGTAATTCTGTAAGTAATATTGCAACTTTCTGCATAAACTATTAGTTTCTTACTGGAATCGTAATAGAATTTGTATAGTGCAGTTTTGTGTTTTTATTAAATTTAATTTCATAGTAAAAATAAAAGTTGTATTTAGTGAAGTGTAAATGTATAACCTTGTAAATTTATTTATTTCAGTGTTTACTGTCCAGTACTGTGTGTTTGTTAAAATTCTATGTAATATGAAAAAATATGTATACGAATCAGGAAAGATTTGACAACAATGCATGGTACCTATATATGGCGTATCCTCCAGTTGGATATGCGCCTATAGCTGATGCGCGCAGTTTTTTGAGGTTTATACTAATCTGACGAGCGGAGGGTTTTAAATGAACAAAAAAAAAACGGTTAAAAAATCAGCTTTCTCAATGGAATTTGAGAAGACAAGCTTATGATATATGTTTCTAATGGTAAAAAGTCGCCTTTGTATAATTTTTTCCTTGATTCAAAGATACATCCTGTATATAAAACTCAAATCGTTGCTCGAGTTGTTGTTACTGTAAAATATTCACAAATATAGTGCACAACAGCTTGCAGATTTAAATATTTTTCTACAATTATACAAATAGATATAAACATGTCTAACATATTTTACCATTAAACAAAAATAATAATAACTACAGATGTAAAAGTTTTATATTTATAGCTGTTTCATGGCACATAACAATATTTTAATTTTTCGCGGAAAAATGTTCACTCAAATAAAGCTGCCAATAACATCATAATGTATTGGCTAACGGCAGTATATTTTATTTTACACCTACTACAATAGGAAACATCAGCACCTACTGTTTTGCTAATAATAATCGAGAAAATACTGATTTAGCTCATCTTGTTTTACTATTCACTTTTTAGAAACCACCTCCATAAATCCATTCATTTCAAATATACACATACAGAATGTAACTTTAAATGGGCATCATATGTAGGTATATGGAGATGGAGGCTATCTTAAACCTTCTGGTGGACTGATAGCACCTAAACTAGGTCAATGTCTGGTGTCATTTCATAAACTAAACACAGTGCTTTAAAAAATTGTTACAAATACTGAAATGATTTTAAAAAATATTTCAAATCAGATTAGTATTGTTATACAGTTTTTATGTACATTTTATAAAACAGCAAGAGTAATTATTTTAGAATATAAGTTAGTTTTATTTACAGTTAGTGAACGTATGTCTATCCACATAACAAATATTAGTTAATATTTAATAAATCATGTTAAAAATATTAATTTTTTATAGCAACACTCGGAACATTTTTTTAATGTTCGATGTTTCGTCCCCATCGACACCAAAAAAATGTGGTGACTTTAAAATAACACGTCTCAAAGTCGTACAAAAGCAATCTAATTACACAAAATTATTTTCCATTTGAATTTCATTCTCTGTCACTCCGTTAGATTCATATAGTTGATTTCAAAATGTAACAACAAACAGCAGATAAGTACGGCTGTCAGAACTGAGCCGCGGGACGTAGGCGTACGCATAATTTATTAAAAAGCAACAAATTAAATTGTCTACAATACACTACCATAAACATCAACGGATAGGAATTAATTACGCAACATCCGCACGATTACAAATCAACAGTATACTTAGGTGAACGTGAAAAGCATTCTGAGGCAGGGGCTCACGCATGTCTCGGTTGATCCGCTTGGCTCGCCATTGAATTGCGGTTTTCTCCGACAGCCTTACTGCTGAGTGCTTACTATATACAACTTAGATTGGAAGCTGTCCAATGGGGGTGTAAACAAGATTTTAAATGCAGTTTAGTAAAAAAAAAACAGGCAACTTCCGTGTAAATTTAATATTTAATAGATTAGATGTAAATAATAATGTACATAAATGAGCTAAAATATATTTTTTGTTCTTCATTTTATAATTTTTATTTCAAATAATTACTACAAAACTAGATTTTTTAATCATGAATTAAAAAAACATTCATTTAACATAGTAAATTTACAGTTAGTTATAACAAAGTTCATTTTAACCAAATTTTCCCCTATCTAATCTCACAAGAAAAGAATTAACCCACTTTTGTGCTGTTTTGTGCTGTAATTTGTGTAGCTTAATAATAACTAGGAAGAAACCCACTAAACACGAAACGTAAATGAAACGTTGCAAATGAGATGTTTTACTAAACATTTGAAACATTAACTAGAAACGTTTCTGTTTCATTACAGAAATGTAGCACTTGAAAACTTATTTAGTGAAACATAGCCGAAACGTTACAATTGAAGAGAGTTTGAAACATTACTCAAAACATTATCTTTCGATCTCGGAAACATAACAGACGAACAACCCTTTGCTATTTTTGTTTATCTTATGGAACAATCGGCATTAGTTAAATTTTGCTCTCAATCCCCAATCCTTCTCAAGCGTTAGTTCATCTGCCTTTGTTATATAGACATAATTAGAAAAAAAAATGTGGTAGCATATTTATAACACAAGTCTAGAAAAAATTCGTGACTTGCGTAGACTGCGCGTAACAGCCCGAGTTTATTTGTTTCCCGTGTGTCGTTTCAATTCGTATTATGTTAGGTTAGGTTTGCGGTTTGTCAGTTTGCTTGGTTTCGTTGTTATTCATCTTTACTTTGACGCTATTTTATGTGATAATTTGTAGTGTGTGCAGTTGTGGTTATTGTAAGGTGCATATAAAATAATGAATATTGATGCAAAATGTTTAAAACGATATGTGTGAAGAGATTTCCAATTTTGCGTCACATCTACCTAAATATAGTTATACCCACTACCTATTACAGACAAGAGGACAAGGGACAAGAACTAAGAAAATGGAACAACAACTATACGTTTTGATATAATTTGAAGAGCAAGTACTTAGTCAGTGAAATATGGATGAATCAAGTGAAATAGATGTCATTTATTTTATATTTTGTACAAATGTTTATATTTGTTTATGTGTATAGGCATGCTTAAATAAAAGAGTTTAGGTATACCTACAGATATTTACTTTGTCAAGATATCATTTTGTATCCTTATTTCTGCTGTATAATTTATTATTATTAAAAGGATATATGTAATATTGACCATGCGTAGAAGAAATTATAACTTTATATTATTTTTCAGTAATGTTATTTGTTTTTCATGTAGGTACCTACCATTTCAACATTCATAATCATAACTAACTTTTTCTAATTATCAGTTCGTCATTGTTACCATATTCATGATGGTCTCAGCATTAGAAAATTTCCATTTCAGAAGCGTATTTGAACAATATAAAATGTGTAGTTTTTTTTAATGCTTCTAATATTGTTTTGTGATATTTTTATTTGTACGATGAATGGCAAAATTCTTAATCCATATTAGAAACTTTTTTCAGTGGCTTCTCAAAAAGAAAGAAATTCTTAGTAAAAGTTGCCGCATCCCCAAACTAGAAGAGCATATTTATTTTTTTTAATATACAATGTAACTTTTTTTTAGTTCGAATTAAGTCATTCACAATACAAATAAAAATATCACAAAGGAGTATTAGAGATATTTAAAAAAATACTCACACTATTTATACTATTTCAAAAACGCTTTTGAAATGAAAATGATCTAAAGTTGAGAGCAATCAAATTATTATGTTACTCAAACATTTCTGAAAATATACTGAAACGTAAAACAAAAATATCGAGGGCATAAATGGAACATAAAAAGATTGTTACT